TCACAGTAGCTGTAGCTCAGGTTTCCCAGCTCAACCCTCCTTAGATGGATGGCTTCCTCAACTGGTAGCAAGGGCTTTGCTAGTCAAGAGAGGTCCTCTTTTTCTCTGATCAGTGATGTGTCTGCAGTGCCAGGCTTTTAGAAGGATCAAAGCATTTCAGAGAAATGAAGGCAACTGAATTTCAGACTAGATGTTAGATAGTACTCAGTGTTTCTGCAGAAGCATTGAAAACAAAATGGCACACAGTAGAGCACATACCTCTGCCAAGGCCCAACCGTCCCTTTTAAATTCAATCAAGCTTCACCAAATTGCACACACCCGTAGATATCAGTCCTCTAAATCTGCTGATTTTCTCGATCAAGATCCAGTCATTGTTTCCTGGGAATTGGTGAACATGTTCTGAATCCTGGAAATATCCTCAAAAGGAATTCCTGGCTCTATCTTAAAATCAAACAGGCTCTTACTTGCCGCATGCCCCTATCATTCCACCGTGGATTTTTCAAGGTATTTTATCAAAATCTTACTGACAAACATAAAAACAGACCGGGGCAAAAGAATAACCCCATGACAAGGGTAATAATAATATCCATTATATAGTGGTAAATTATTATTATTAGTTTTTTTAATGGGAGACCGTATGTCAAAAAACTGCTCCTACATTTCCCACTTTCATGCCCAAGGCTTGAGCAAGAATGCAGATTAATGAGCGAGCATCCTCACACACAAGACTCCAGATGTAAAACAGGAAGAGAAAATGACTGGTTTTACATCATGTGTTTTTTCCTCGTCTGTGGTTTAAAAAAAAGTAGATGTTGGTTCATAATAATAAACAGTGATTGGAAAAAACTGGCAACTGTCAAGGATAAGTTAAATAATCTCTTAACATCCTCTCTACACATAGTTAATATATTCTTAGCCTGAAAACATTAACAGAACATTTCCCATCCCATGGCATGAGCACTGTTATGTGGCTGCCACCTTCATTTAAGGTTAACCATCTGATGCTTTGATCATGGAAAAAAAGAAAAGCCAGCTGGAGGCTAAACAGTATGTCAGCCATACAATGTTACATGTGCAGTAACTACAGGGACCTATGTAATGGAATCCAAGTCAATTCAACACTATAGCAACAACTAAGTCTTAAATTGAGTGGGGCAGCTTTTATATATATCGTAAAAAAACAACATGTCTGCTATCCTCGATGGAGCTGAGTAACAGTGCTGCCATTTAGGTTCCCTCAAAATAGAACAAGTTGTTTCTCTTCCTAGATCAGGATCAGCTTTTTTTGCCACAGCCTGATAAAACTGTCTGAGTTTTCCTTCATTTGTCACTTTTACCATTTCAAGATGACATATCAAGTATACCCAACTGCACGCCCGTAATTCACATGTCTTTGGTCTACAGTATATTTCAAAGATATTCTCAGTAAAATGAGAATATTAAAAAAATATATTTGTTTAAGAAGTAGTGCCCTTGGCTGCATGCACGCATTTAGTATGCTGACATTTACATAACATAATTGCCTATCGAGCCTCTGAGCGAATGGGTTTATATAGAATTAGTGTGTGTGTGTGTTTGTGTGTGTGTGTGTGTGTGTGTGTGTGTTGACAGTGAATCATAATCATACAGAGATTTTTCCTACCACTAGTTCTGAGAGTTTAAGCAGGGCACAGTAGCACTGGATGGATAGACAGCGCGGGCATCCATCGCTGATGCCCCCAACCCCTTAAAATAAAAATGGACTTCTACCAGCTATTACAGCAAAACAAATTCCATTGTTATGACCAACCACAATAGAATGGCCCAGTTGCCAAGTCACAGCAGATTTGGAGGCGGGTCGAAAACTAAAAGCTAAAGCAATTAAAACCGATGGAAAAAGTAGGGTTGGCACCAATGTACAGTTTAAGATTAATAATGCATAGTTTGAACATTGCAGCCCGTAACCCTAATCTAGTAGACCTAAAGTAGAATTGATTCCAGGGGAATACCTAGTTAAAGTGATGCATTATAAAAAAGTGCTAAGCTGGAAAAAAGGTTACTAAACTAAATAAAATCAACAATCAAAAAGAGAGCTGCAAAATTTTGCCTGGTGACAGGAAAGAGATTAAATGTCAGTCAAAGAATCAGCAGTGAAGCCTGTGAAAGAGTGCTTCCTGTTAATGAATGTTTAAGCCTCAGCAGTATAAGGTCCTCTCTGCTGCATTAACTAATGGATTTCTCCAGGGAGAACTAACAAGACAAAAAAATGTGATACAGCCTCTCTTTTTTTTTGTGAGACATGATTAGACAACCTGGGAGATTCCTGATTGAATTTGTTCAAACCAGGTAAGAGATGAAATACCAGTGTTTTGATTAAGCTTTTTGTGGCTAGACATCCTCAGCTTGTTGAAGGAAGGCAGTGATTCAGAGTTGATTCTAAAAGGGATCCATCATATCTGCCTCTGCCTGGAAGTAGAAACAAGGCTCGTCCTTCCAAATTGTCTCGGGGTCTCTAGAGTTTTCTTTAGTAAGGACACAGGGACTGGAATTTAAAGGTCATGCTACATTGGACTGACTGTTTTACTGGTGTGTCATGAAGTAGCAGTGAGATTTGTCTCAGCTGTTTCAACACATACTACAGAGGAAGATGACCTGGAGGTATGATGTAGCACCTCTGGAGGGACACCTCAGTCACAAATGCAAATACTGAACAGACTACACTGTTGTTGCATTTTTATTCAACAGATTACATTTTCCAAGAAATCCCAATTCAATATAACCAAAGTATTGTCAGTAACTAAAGTCTACTAGAAGGATTGTAAGAAAAAAAACAAGTGAACCAAATCAGTATCAGGATGAGTTTTAAATCTTGAGGGTATTATGAATGCACAACTGCATTTACCATTTCGTTAATTGGAATTTAAATTTAACTTTGTACGAGACCAGAAATTCTCCACAAGGCATTCCAGATGTATATCTGGATCCAAATATTTATATTTCAAAGGGCACAAGCAAAGGGAAAACTCTTGCTTGCATGACGTGAGTCTTTACGCACAAATTCACGCACCCACGGCACAGATTCAGACCTGTCCTATAATTTCTCTCAAACCTCACACACTGCACCATGGTGTAATTACCGATATGAAACCTGCTGTACAGAGCGAAGTATGTTATTAGTCTTCTAACAGAAGCAGAACTTGAGCAGACGTCTCTTTAAAGACCCAGGGGAGAGAAAAAGAACACGGTTTGTGTTTCTCATCAATTGAAGCTGAGTTTTCTGTTTTCTGTTAGAAATGAGGATGACAAATCAGCCCATTACACTGTTACTAGGTACTATATACATTAAAATACATTAATTATTTCAGATTCAAACACACTATCGAAAGGAAATTGAGCATATTGTAAAATATTTCACTTACAATTAGTCTATAAAAGGCCCCACGAAAGTTCCCGAGATTATGCCCCTAACAATGTACTGCCTAGGTGTAAATTAACATTCTGACACATCATATGTTAATAGACCATAATTTTAACGATTCAGAGAACACCATCTGAGAACAACTTTCTAGTTCCCTTGGATTCATCTTCTCAACAAGATCAATATCATTTTAAACCTGAGCATATGTTCAGCAAGCTGTCCTCAATAAAAATCACTGTCTATGCTAACAAAGTGACTCAGTGTTAGTTTAGAAAATTGCATTGATTCCCTTGAGGCAATAGCTTCTGGAGAGTTAATCAATGAGAATGAGGCAAAACATATCACTGGTGCAGGGGTTTACTGATGTCAACTTTTAATTCATATGAATTACTTGTTTTGCAGCTACTAAGAAGAGCTGCTTCCTTTCTTTGTATAGCCATAAATAGTATGTCAGTTTAAAATGGTAGCTCTATACAAAAAATGGGTAAGAATGTGGGAAGTAGCAGACGAGTTGTCAATGTGGTTTCTATATCAAGACTTTGAGGAAAGAGTTAACATAAACTTAACTAAGGTGCCATGCATGTAAAAGACGGCGAGGAAGATGTCAACTTGGAAAGACGAGATTCAAGAACTATAGGCAATCGGGGCTGGCACCAGTGTGGACATGCTGAATACCACTGTGTTTTCAGCAGGGAAATTCATACGTCATATCCTGGCTCCCACGTATTGCTATTTAGGAAACTGAACTCAAGAGCTATGCATCCTGTATGTAGCAGATACAAAGAGCCAGGAATGAATTTTGAACCCTGGGAAAGTGTAATTTTTTCAAACCACCAAACAGGTGTTTGTCTATGTGTGTGTAAGCTGGTAACAGTCAGGGCTGTTCACCCTCTATCCAAACAGCAGCCCCAATCATTATCAACCAGACTATGCCATGTCTAACCCAGTCTATTCAGTCGTACTGGGCGGAAACCACTGCAAACTTAAGACTGGCAATTTGGACTGTCTTGCCAAAAAATAAATAAATAAAAGACACCACTCACTCCACATACACATGTTGCTAGATGGAGACATGTGTTCCGTGATGCTGTTTCATCTCCAAACTTTCCAAAACATCTTCAGTAAAGCCCATATGTTTATGTCAAAGTATTAATGACATGCTACTTTTTAAAACATGTGAAGCGGGGTAGTGGTAGGTAAAGATCACAACTTCTACTGCTGCACAAAAACACATTTATTTCTGGTGGTTTCTGCCAAGTTTGTCTCCTCGGGTGGTGGGTGAAGAAACACTCAGCCCCTAACAACTCGGAAAGGTGAGGGTGAACTGAAGGACGTGTTTTTGAGGGCTAAATACAAACCTTGCTCAGAAACGTTTTGCCTTTGATCTTCCTGTGTCGTGTTTATTTCAATGGAGTGTGAAGGAAACACTCAGCCCGGGGGGGGCATTTTTCGTAGGCCCAGAGACATGCCTCAATAGATGTACCTCTCCTATCACCTTTTGCCTTTGATTTTACAGTGTCACGTTTGTTTCAAGCATGTTTTGCTATTGCATCATGTTTCTTGAGAAACCCTGGTGTCAAGATTTGTGACAGATAAAACTCACCCAGCAGCAGCAGTTTCACTTCTCTCGCCGCCTTCTCTCCATCTTCTCTCAGGTTTTTATCAATCATTTTAGACCTCTCGGCCGCGGCTTTATCTTCCTGACTGACTGTACACCCCATGGTTCCTAGTGCGCGCTTCAGGTCTGCTGTTTAGTGGGCAATTATCACTGGAGAAAAAATATATAATGGCACAGTCCAAAGACCCTTATTTCTGAAATAAGGGTTGAAGTTTGGGTCGACTTGCTTTTTTTCTTCTTCAAGAGTGGTGACGGAGTCCTTTCATCCACGGAGACTGCAGAGTTCCCGATACGAACTTTTTTTTGTGGGGAGGGGGGTTCACGAAAATTCCCGACGTGTCGGTGCTGATTCGGTCACTCGGTCAGCATCGGTGCTTTCTTGACAGCGTGGAGAAGTTGTCCAGCGACCGGAAAAGAAACTTTTTATTCGGTGGAGTTTTGTCTAATTCCTCCCGCAGAACATGGGAGCAGGTCACACGCGCACGCACGAAAACGGGCCACGAAGTTGAGCCAAGAAAGAAAAGGAAAGAAAAAAGTATTCCAGCTGTTGAAAGGCGAGCACACGGATTCCTCCGTGTCAGTCAGGCTGCCGAGCACACGCTCGCTCTCTGCTTCAGTATCTTTGCTGTTTGAAGTGTGGCTCTTTCTTTACTCGGCTCTGTCGCCGTTAGGCAAGCTTCACCCGGGGTTGAGATTTCTCACGTTTAAAGCCACACCCGTAGTGGCCGCGAAGTTCCCCTCAGTCCGACAAACAGCGAGACAGCTCCGTCACCTCCGAACGCAACAGCAGCAGGGCCAACCTTCAGGCTAGGAAACGCCCACTCCCACTGCTTCATGGGAAATGTAGTCGGGGAAAGGGGGGGTGGGTGGGGGGTTCCTTGGAGAGTCACTGTAGAATTCTGTGTTAAGTAATGGAATTCAAGCAACATTCAGAGTGTTTTTGACATTCACAACTAATAGCTCACGTATTTGACATACAAATACACGTATTCAGAAATAAAAAATACACCATTACAAGTAGGCCTAATTGTTCTGCATTCATTATTTTACTTAAAGATATTCTAAAAACGCTATCCTTTAAATGATAGCGTTTTAAACATTAAATATATTGAACCTATGACAGTCTTCCCCTCCCATTGCATAAAAGTCAGTTTATGCAATCATCTTTCATTTCAAAAGTTTCACTCAGATAGCATACGGATGTGGGCCACTTCAGGCAATGCTGCGGCACTCCTGGTCTTTTTGCGGCCCGGACTAAATGAATGTGAACCTAAAGTGGCCCACTTGTGAAATAGCAAATGTAGCCCAAATATCGGAAAACAGATGTGAACCAAAAATGGTAAATGTGGCCCAAATAGCATGAAATAAATTTGTGCAACCTTTTGCACCATTGGTTGACATGCAGTATTGCTATAGTTTACTTGTGGCCTAGATCCGGCAAACAGAAGCGGACAGCCCATGTGCCATCATTACACACGATGTGTGGGACGAATGTGGGATGTGGGACAAATCTGAATCCCAATTTTGCAAAGTGAGTGGGCGATACAAGATGTCTCCTACATCTCCATGTATAGTGGGCCAAAAAAAACAGCATAACATTTTAGGCAAGCTCAGACAAACCTTGTTCTTCCATCAGATACATTTTTCCCTCTAGCGTCACACTTTGAACATACTTGTACATCAATCTGCATCGCAGAGGTCAAATTTCCAGGAGAAATATTCATCACAAAAAACGTTTTTTGTGGAGTAAAATAATTTACTGCAAAGTTTACTCACTCGACTGAAGGGTCCCTCTCAGATGTTTTACTAATCTATAGGCCGACAGCACAGGGCTGCATCTTACAATTATTTCCATGACAGCTTCTTTCATTTCCCAAGACAGAAGGTATACATCTATGGAGTCAGTGATCAATGTGTTTAAAAAAACTTGTCACCCAAATTGGTTTATAGAAATATTTTAATGCTAATACCAGATAGAGCATAATGATTAAATGTATGTATGGAGTCTAAACTGACTCAAATACAACGTAAAGGATTTAAGCTACAAGAAAATTGTAAATGAAACCCTGACATTATGTTGCATTACTCGATGGTCCATTAGAGCGTTCACTCCAGAGCTCAATCCACAGCTCTATAGTGTCACCTTGTGACTCTAAGAAGAATTACATCTGAGAAGAATTAACTTCTGAGCGTTTTCTTTTCTCTCTTTTTGATTTTACACTGTGTTTATACTACAGTCCAATAAAAAACAGGGTTTTAGGCTTAAGAGGGACAATAAGATGATTGGGTAATATTGAATCAAGTTATATGCATCTGTGAAAAGTTGTAAGATTACAATCCATGAAACATACAAATACATACACTTTTATCAATGTATTTTTATCGCTGCCTAAAGGTCAGGTTGAACTGTGGCTGGTTACGGTCATAGTCTCCATTTACAGCTATTTTTGTTCTACATTATCATCCACAAGATCTAATATTCTACTTAGGAATAGCAATGTAGGCAAACTACTGAATATACAAATCTGCAACCAATCTCCTGTCTCCAAGAATATGAAATAATGTCCCAATGATCATATCTGAGAGACGATAACAGATGCAACTTATGTTACCTCATTATCTTTATTGCAACATTGTTTACAGTATACAATAACTGCCAGAAACATATTAAAATATATAGAGATACAAGAAAATAGACATGAATTGAAGGACAAAAAGGTTTAAAAGCACTTTGAAAATGATTACATTTATATTTTAATTGGACTAAAACTTTGAATTACTATTTACATTATACAAACTAGATATGCATATAGAATATAAAGGGTATACATTTATATACATTATTTATAATTGCTGGCCGGTGTCGATACTTAATGTCACTATTCAATCATACACGTTTCAATAAATCACAAAAAAAGAGGGAGACTGACATCACTGAGATCTGAATACAGGTTCTCAAAGATCTTGTATCAGCCACTAGCGTTTAACTTAACTTAACTCATTGCCATTTTTTGCATGTTGTGAGGATATAAAGTGTGTGTGTGTGAGTTGTGTATTTTACTTAATTTACCAAATGGCTTTATCATAGGCAAAAGCAGGAAGTTGGGGATATATATATGTAACACACTAATTGGTTTAATAACACTTGCTTACACCCCAGTGGCTGATTCCGATGTTTCCCTCTGCATACAGATACACAAAGACAACCAAAGGCCTGGATACAATCAAATACAAATTGATTAGAAGAGGTTTGATGTGTGATAAACGGACAGGACGACACTCAGTTACCCATACAGAACTCACAGTAGTCAGGTGGAAGAAGATTTTACCTGCAAGAATATAATGAAATGTAGGCTAGCACACCAGCTCACTAACAACTCCAAGTTAGTAGATTAACGTCTGCCAACGAGCAGCGAGGAAAGACCCAGTCCATACCTCTGATGATAACAGTGAGATAATTAAAAAATACAAGAAAAAACAATAATTAACAGGTTTAGCATCTTGCATTTCATCACTGATTCAGATTAGACTGATACGCCGAATAAACATTAAACGTGAAGTTTAAAACAACAGTTAATATATCAATGGTATGAAATATATTATACTTCTGATCGGGTCATAGGTCCAGGGTTTAACAAGACAAATGTATACAGGTAGGTTTAGTTCAAATACAGTGGAGCCATGTTTTCATTTTTTAAAACAACACGGACACTTAAAAACCCTCAACAGTACGTCCACTTAATTTGTTGTTGCGTCTACAAAACAGACCAGAGGAGGGCGCTGATGATCACGGGGGCTCACAGGAAATGCTATAAGTAACAACATCAGGTCAAGTAATTTGGAGAAAACATACATATTATACCATCGATACATTGATAATTTCCTCTGAATCTACATTAGATTGATTAATTTATCATAGATTTAGTCATATGAAGGGATATGCATTGAAATCACATCTACCTAATGTGAGCGAACTCTCTTACGAATAATTTGTTGTTTGAACATATTAATGGCTACAAGAATGTTGTGCTTTTTTAAAGGAAAGTGCTATTCCTAACCACCAACATTTCATTTGTTAAAGAGACGGTAAATCCCATGTCGGTCATCTCTGTTATCGAGGGATCAAGCTTGTGCTGAACGCAGAAATATTTACAGATTCCACACTGCTATTAACCACTTAATGAAGTGACCCTGTTGTTATTTTATTCATGATTTGATCTCTGATTACCTCCAGTGAAGATTCAGAAACAACACAACAGATCTGCCAGTTCCTCCTCGTCCCACTTGAGGACGAAGAGGAACTTTCGTCTTAGTTCAGTTAATAATCCACCTTCGGTCTCCAGTACCGTATCACTGTCATGTGCGCAGTTATACTGAAAAAGAAAAATCTCTCTGCACAACACAGGCATTCTTGTATATAGAGTTCTGTCCCCTGCCTCTCTGACATTGATCAGTCCATACTGCATCGTCTGAGGTCTCCATCAAGTAGAGGTTGTTATTAATAAAAAATATACATCTAGATCATATTGTGTAGTAATGTGATGATAAATGTGCTCAGAGCGCTGCACCACAAGCTCTCAGTGGTTCTGCACCCTGGCTCTTAAATGCCTTTAAATAAACAACAGCGGCACAAGTTAGTGGAGCTGCAGATAAGAGCTGCACACATTAAAGGAATAGTTCAACATTTTCCAGTCTTTATACTAAGCTACGGAAGGCTGGCTGCAGCTTCATGTTTACTATACTGACATAAGAGTGGTGTCAAGATACGATAAGCAGAAATTTTGAACTATTCCTTTAATGCATCTTTCATTCTGTGCATCAGCTTTTCATATCACTTGCCTCTGCACGTGCACAGAATGGCAAATATACAGTTATTTAAATAACATAGAATAAAATTATTGATAAAAATCATATAAGAATTTTCTATTATTCAATAAATTTGATTCCAAACTGTTTTAAGGGAGGGGCCCCAGATTGTGTTTTCTGATCTGAGGAGCAGTTTACAGATCAATGATCAAGACGCAGGGACAGCAAGGGGAGGTGATTACAGACAGCAGCATTCTACATTATCACTTAGCTGTTTTTTTGTTTTTTTTACATCCATCTCACAAGGCACAGCCTCCAACATGTCAACATCAATCTCTCCGCACCCGGCCTCTCAGTGAATTCACCTTCAAACCGACCTGGAGGTGCACTGTTTGGCAGGATGTACAGTACGACTCAACGTCATCAGAGCGAGAGCGTTTGCAGAGAGACAGAAATTCGTCCCGAGCTCTCGACTCTAGACGTCTCTAATGGAAAACATAGAGGGCATCTTTAACATCACACATGATCCAGAGAAAACACGGTAACATTACAACACAGGTCTAACTCAACAATATAAAACCTGAAAAAAAGGAGGAGGGAATGCGGTGCCTAGTGACCACTGCTGGCTTTACTGGTGCCCGATGTCCAATCAATGATGATAAAGCTGAGGCTCATTATCATAAACAGGAAGCCTATCCCAGCGAAACAGAAAGCCTGGACGAGAAAGGGAGTAATGAGAGTGTCAGGAAACAGGAGACAGAAAGAACATTGTAACTTCACTAGTAAATCATTGAATATTAGTGACTGTGCCCAGACACATCTTCAGTGTTATTCTACCTCTGGCAGCCACACATTTCAGACTGGTATTAGTACTTGAGAACTACTGTGAAGCTTAACCCTAACCAAGTCTTAACCCTCAATCAGCCCTTTGAATTTGTGAGGACGAGCCAAAATGTCCTCACAACAGCAAAATGTCCTCAAAATGATGGTATGGAACCAAAATTGTCCAGAATAACTACAGATAGACATGCGCACAGACACACAAACACACACTCACCTAACCTGAGATAACGAAACATAAACCAAACTTAACCAAATCTACCCAAACCCAACTGAACTTGAGCTAATTTAACTTCACTTTACTTAACTTAACCTAAAATGAATGCATACTGAATATAATTTTCTCACCATGATTTTGGGCACAGAGCGCAGCGGCTCCTCTTCTTTGGGAACAATACGGATGTAGAAGACAGCAGGGAAGATGAAGATGAGACAGGGGGCAGATGTGGCACCTGGAGAGCAGACAAAAACACGGAATTATTCATGAGCCAACTCTCCATAAATTCTCTGCTCCTTCACTCTTCATTACACAGCTGCTGCCGGTCTGACAGCACTGTAGGAAAATACAGAGCCAGGAAAAAGAATGAGTTTGTATTTAGTTTAATTCGCTACCAGAAGTAACAATAGATGATATGAGGCTTTTGAATTTAATGTTTTAAGCATGAATGAGCCCGTTAGTTTCCATTTGTAAATACTGCACACACCAAATATTACCCCACACCGAAGTCCAAAAATCTGAGAAAATCTAAATATTTTATTGTTCTCAAAATCCTGCTTAATTTTTATTATCTTAAGTTACTGGTAAAACTACAAATGTGATGGTGGTTCTCATCTGCCAAGATTCTTTTTCTTCCCAACTTTCCAAGTGTTCACTCCTGTATACAGAGTTACAGTGTATATAACATCCAGTTTAAACATGGTTACATATTTAGTGATCTCTGGTCTTATTTGTCCTTGCGTGTCGCAAAATTTGCAGAATTTTGCACTTTGGCGGCCGCACACATAATCAATCAACAGATTTAATTTATCGGAGATCATGAAAGCTACTCTGGATTTGTCATGGTGCCAAACCAAATCCGTCTCTTGCAGCGTCAAGCATCAGAACCCCCTTTGTTACAGTGGTGCTCAAACCTACCAATGATCCCAAAGATGCCCAGGATGTTGGGGGCAAAGATGACCAGCAGGTTGATGAACGTGAGCAGAACGAAGGCGATGGCGATGTGGCGAGGCCAGTTGAAGGTCTTGTTGGGAAACATCATCTGCTGAATAGCTCTCCGGACCTGTTTGTGACCAGAAAAGGCCATTTTCAATGGTTTCACTATGTCGAGTCATTGCGTGATGAAAGTAATGTAAGTATGCAGGTGTGAAATGTAGGTGCTAAAATGTTACACACTGGGAAGAGCACGATGGGTACAGTGAGTGTGACAGCAGTGAGCACGGCCACGCGCACACACAGAATCAGAGTGTCATACGGGTCGATGCGGCTGTAGGTGTGAAGCAGCTCTGCTTCCACTTCACCTGGAAAACATGCAAACAGAGGAAAATAGATCTAAGGATGATGAACTCCTCCCAAACCAACTAACAAAACATCAGCTGTCTTAAAACAATGAAAACTGATATAACATAATCTAACATAATCATGCTACTTCATCTGATAAAGCATCTGTAAATTCTGGTATCTTTTAAATGGAGTTGTTAACAGGAACAGAGTGCAATGATTATTCTATTGTATGACCACTAGAGGGGGGGATTGCATCATGGTTTTCAGCACCTCCTGTTGGAATAATATAATATAATATAATTATGTATAAGATAGATAGATAGATAGATAGATAGATAGATAGATAGATAGATAGATAGATAGATAGATAGATAGATAGACAGATAGAGGACCAGGCCTCACCATAGAAAGTTAGGTATCCAAATAGAGCAGCCAGGAAGTACATGCTGTACATGACTGCAATGGAGATGTTGGCCACATGCTGCATCTTTTTCTTGGTGGCACTGAAATCAGAAGATATTGCCATGTGATGTCACACACACACACACACACACACACAGAAGCAAAAACACACCGCATCAGGACATCCACCATCAAATGACAAACATGAAGCATGTAGCCCAGTTACTGTAAAATACAATCTGAAACTGTGAGGCTACTATAATATTAAATACATTTAAACGAATCAGAGCAAGCAACAGTGGTTCAAAGCAGGATGATAAATTCAATCTACAACATGCTACATAACACAAGCAGTGCCAAGTCATCTCAAAACAAAGTGAAAGCAGTGCATGTGACTGGGTTATGATCAGCCAAGCACAAAGCAGACAGTAGCTTTTCCTCTTTGTTATGCAGCTGAATCTTTTTTTTGTCCAGAACTTAGCAGGAGTTTTCCATCATAAGAACATACTTGCGCAGCTCTGTGTAGATGGGCAGGACCTCAGGGTGGCACACAAAGGCGAACGCCAGGATAGGGATGGTGTAGGCCGTCTGAAAATGAATCCCAACAAATCACCATAGATACAGCAGCGCCATCCCAGACGTCTTACCACCAACCCTGTGCTTTACTGCCCATTACTCCCTCACACACATCACAGAGAGCTAATTGTTTCCCTGTGATTAACTTGGGCCTGGCTGCAGACCAGCTTTGGCCTATTTAAGAATGCCTTAAATGTAAGCTGCTAAGCAGCAGGAATCGGTCTAGTCTGGGTTAGTAAAGACTCATAAATCTTTAGATGTTGGAAATGAAGCCATGATAATTTTTATAATAATATAGTAGAAATATGTGTTGTAATACTATATAATGATAATTTTTATAATAATATAGTAGAAATATGTGTTGTAATACTATATAATGATAATTTTTATAATAATCCAGAATAAATGGTCAGTATTTAACCTGGTTTTGATAAAGTACAGGAAATGTAATGTGAAAATCAAGCAAATTTAGGTGATAAGACTACATCCATACTACGGCTTTTTCAAACTAAAACGATCTCTTTCCACACAAGCGTTTTGACTCTGTATCAGTTTTAATCCCCATCCGTACTAAAACACCTGAAATACCAACTCACATGACCAGACAGCTTTTCTGCTACACATGTAACAGTTGTATTATTGTAAAATGCAGAATTTAACTGCACAACAGCTGTTAGCAAAGACAACAGGGTCAGCAATGCTTATTGAATTATTCTAATAATATTACTGAGTAACTGATTATCCATGTAGACTGTACACTGGTAGCGGATGTTAATCAGTAAGCGGTTGTGAGTGTCTTTGTCATCTTTTCGGCCCATCCAGGCTGTGGACTGGACAATCCCAGAGTTTTCATACGGGGCCAGCAGCGTTTCCAAACATCTCTATTTTTGCAGATGTAAAACTACAGTTGTGTGGACGTCTGGCCTATCCATAGCAGAGTTGTTGCGTGTTCAAATGAATTAAAGTGTGGATGTAGCCTAAGAGTCTTTAAGAGTCTGCTCCTGCTGTGAAGGTATGTACTGTGTGTAAAAGGTAAACACACTTAGAGAAATGTTAGCTCTTTCCCATTTCACTCATTACTTATCTCTTTGTCCGACAAAGGGCAGACTTGATGAGCTCACTGTAAGCGAGAGAATGCCAAAGCAATTTTTACTCCTTAGCTGACAGGAGCTCGAAGGGGTTGCTCTCCATCTCTGAGCTTTGAACAAACCGCTTGATAAGAAAAGGGGCCTGATCTCCTCATGGGTGCAACCAAGTGCTTCAAACCAAGTGTGACTTCCATGCTTTGATTATGATCCGTCACTAGCAACATGCTGAAGATGTCAGTGGGTGCTTGTCAGTGGCCATGGCAGTGGAGGTGGACTGTCAGACTGAGTGACATGCGTGAAACCTACTTGTGAGTTGAGGTTGGCCATTTTGGGAATACAAGCGGGGTTTTCCTCCCCACCAGGATCCGTAGCAGTGGTGTTCAAGATGCTGGTGGTTCCGTTGAATGAAAAGTCCACAAACGGACAAGGGATGTTGAACTTCTTGTAGATGACCTGTTCAGTGAAGAAGAGAGCAGCATTAAACAGGAACGAAGGCTATGGATCACAGTTAATATACAGACAGGGGGAAAACACGGCCCTGAGGGAGAGATAGAGTCGTGCGTGGATTACAGCTCACACAGCCAAAACTAGGTCAGACAAAGACAGAGAACCAACACAGCCTGGAACTGCAGCATGCAAACACGACATTGTGGCGATGAGTAGAGACAGTCGGGAATATTAAAGAGGTGGTGGGAAGGTGAAAAAAAAGAATTATTACAAGCTGATCCCATTGCATCTAAAATATGCAGCCTTGATGTTTCTGCCAAAAGGCGAGAAACTAGAAGCATGGCGCACGATATCGAGCTCGCGGGTATAATCAGAGGAACTCACCGAAATGAGGAAGAAAACCATGCAGCTCAGGGAGAACCCGCTCGTGTAGCCCAGGTATCCTGAAGAAGAAGGATGATTAGTATTTGTCTGCATAGTCACGCTTTATCTGACATATCTTACACAATAAGAGCACATGGAAACTGCTAGTTTAAGCTATGTTTAATACTTCATTCTAATAACTTATCATTATTGAGGTAAAGCTGAATTTTTCCTGTTTGTTGACCTGTGTTTTTCTACCACATGTTCTTCTTCATGCCTTGAGGTGCACCAAATTGATTTAATGTGCACAGAGGCAGAGCTCATTACTGACTCCGCCGCACTGCCTGGCTCTGTTTGTCCTCCATGTCTCGGCAAGAGACGGACTTCTAACAAGAGGTCGGCCAATACGCCTCAGTTTCTCACTCCCAGACTGGCTTTTCCTGCCTTTTGCCTCTTTTCATGGAGGGTTGCTGTGATGAAGAGACACACTCCAACCACATGAAACACACTGGGTGTGTGTTTGTGTCAACAGAGGGATGTTGCTTTAAACAATGAGGGAACTTTAGTCTGTTAGAGTGTTAAGAATTATCAGACATGGCAGCATTTGAACAAGCAGAGGAGGAAGCAATGCAACATGGGGCATTTCAAGAGGACAGCAGTGGAAAGATGAAGAGAGGACAGAAAAACACAGCAGCATCACTTAGCTTTGAAAAATACTCTCTCTGTCAGGAAAAGATATTAACAAAACTAGAATGGCACAAAGATCACATACCTCCCCCAGGGACAGTTTTACAGTCCCCTTATAAAACCACAGTGAATTTACTAGATCCAGATTTTTATTTGGATCTGCACCAAACATGCCTGCTGTTTCATAAAGATCCACGAATTGTTCTCTATCTCACAATATTAAAGAACGTGTATAATTGTTCCTGGATCCTGATCTTGATCCGCACCAAGAGCTAATGGGTTCTTCTCTGGCCCATACAACATATTTCCACCAAGCTTCATAGTAATACCTCCAGTAATACTGCCTTATTCTGCTAACTAGCTAACAAACGTGGATGAAAACATAACCTCCTTGTGGAGGTAACAAAGGGAGAGTTCAACTGGCCCTTAAATAGTAAAAAATATCTGTGTAGGTCTGAAATCTGTGTCCTCTTCAACTGAAGATATCTTAATATCTTAAAAGATATGGCAACAGTTCAAATTTAGGAGGTGACAAGACGGCCACCAAGACTGCAGGTTGTAGTTGTTATAGCCTTAAAGAACTTGTAGGTGGAATGACAGAAGAAATGATACATTCTTCCTCTTAAATGAAAAGTGGAATTCTTTAGCAATAACACAAACAATTGTTCAGTCCAACACACACAGTCTCTGCTGTCACAGCCTTACTTGTTCTGGTGTGACCATTAGTTTATAGTGCCTATAAAGTAAATGATGTTGTATTCCAGGCTTCACTCTTTTATAACTTATAGCTACTTGTCATACAGTAACAATTGCTTTAAATGCTAATTTACCCCATAACTGTCATTTGCAGCAGCAGTGGCCACATTCTCACTTCATCATACACAAAACTGGATAATAGAGTGAATCTCAGATGAGAGGAGTATCCCACTATAAGAAGGACATGGTTGTACACACTCACCAAGCTGTTTCATTAGAGCCAGTGGTAATATTACACCAATAGATACAATGATGACAAGGTAGTTTCCATTCAGGTACCATTCACTGCAGAGAGACAGAAACACACAGAGGCAATTAAATGTATTGATTGTGAATTACTCGGCTCACAGCATTTGCACTGAGTCAACTATCGATTGAGTAGACACAGGAGAAAAGTGTGAAAATCTAAGAAGTCAGTTGGGGAAAAGATAATGAGGGAAAAAGCTCAGCTATTATTTTATTTCTCTATAACTACAGTATGTCAAGCAGATGTTATTTTTATTCACAGCTAAACAGAGACAGTGTGAACACAGATTCAACTCTGTGGTTGTCAAGAAACATGATGATTAGAAATGAATATTTTTTCCTCTTTACTTCTATTATTATTCTTCATTCTTCTTCTCACACATGCTAACAAATGTCATAAACGTTGAGCTGTTTATACAATACTATAAATTAATAATTTAATTTTTTGTGAACTCAGTCACATGGAATCTGACACAGAGTGTAGTGGACACTATTGTTGAGGGTAAACACTGGCTCTGACAAGACGTTTGGCAGAACCCATGACAAACAGACACAACCACACGTTACAACTTCAACAAACACATCCAGGAAACAAACATCTGTGAGCTATTCTTAGACCATCACAGTAGGAGTGATTCATTCTAGTCTGAGGCAGAACACACTGCGGAGATTCGGCATCTACTGCAGCACACACTGTATTTTTACTCAAACAAGAAAAGGCTCATCTGAAAATGATGTGGAAATGCAAATCAGCTTCTGATATAATAACACATACATATAATATATAACATTAAAAAAAATGAACACATTTTTATTTTGAAATAAAGAGATACATTCCTTGAGTATAAAAACAATGATCCACTGAGGTTATCCATAAAAGTCGTCATTCATTTTAAACGTTCAGTGTGTGGGATTTAGTGGCCTCTAGCTGTGAGGTTGCATATTACAACTAATACCCCTCATCTCACCCTCCATTTGGAAGCATGAAGGAGAACCTACGGTGGCCTGTAGGTAACGTAAACATGCTAAAGGTGTTCTCTAGAGCCAGTGTTTTTTTTGTCCATTCTGGGCTACCTTAGAATCATGCCGGACTCTGTGGAAGAGCCAATCCCTCTGTATAAAAGTCTCTCTCTCAGGTAATGAAAGTTATATTATATTATAAACTAACATTACAAATATCACATTGAATTCCCACCATACAGGAATCTTAACCCTAATGCTAAATAAATCCAGAAACTCACTCATTGTATCTATAACAAATATAACCAGTCTACTCAGTATTTATCTGTTGCTGAGTCATTGTATTAATGTGAATTGGACCTTGATGTGGCCCTGTTATTTTTCACACTCCTTGTACAATAAAAACACACACCCACCGTTAGGATGAGATGCCACCAGGACAATCTAGTCTGTCATTTCAAATAAACAGTGATTGTTGGCCGTGGCCCACAGCATCGAGCCCTGCTGCACGGAGACAACAGAGCTGACAACACAAAACAATGTTGAAATGTTGTTATGGTGGCTACTTAGTGGGATTGTTCAGTCTATGTTTATGAGCACTCGTGGTGAACTTTTTTCCTTTAGGTTGAGACCAGTGTAGGTGCATGCACTTGTTTCTTTATGGCATTAATGAGGGGACATTTCCTCTGTTGCAAAAATGCTGATGAGACTCTGCACATTTATATAAAAGGTTGTGTAACCAGACAACTGTATCATACAAATGCTCAATTTACTCCCCTCTTCCATTCACCCACTCTTCTCCATACTGTGCACGAGAGGAGTAATGCACCTACCCCTCTAACTGGGGTAAGGGTGAACGTGTAAGGGGGGTGACATCACACTCCAAAATCTCATCCAAGGACGCAAGTGTTGTTTGTCTTTGGGGCCACCTGCAGCAGCCAGTGATATCCCATGGTTTACGTTTTCTGCCGCTGTGTTTTGATATGAACATTTCTCTCGGTGGCCGCGCTGCTCCCCTCCTTCGGGGTCACTATCACAGCTGTTCTCACGCCAGCTGCTCAGCACATGAGCTGCAGCGCCAGGTTCGCCGATAATTGGCACAGGCTGATGGGACTGGATGACTGCATGAAGCCCAGTGAAGGAGTGAAACATCACACTGCCAATATTAATTTCCATACGAGTATATTAATATTGAATCTTTTCAAAGACAGTGATCCTCCATCCTTCTCCCTTAGAGGATTTCTGGATAGTGTGAGGAAGTGGAGACGCATCATCCATCTTTATATACAGTTTATGGTATAAATGCATTGTATGTGTTTCCTATAGATCTGAAGTCAAATGCTGTAGAGCATAATATCAATGACCACTCACCCTGCAGGTTTATCCACCATCAGAAAGGCCTGGATGACCAGAGGAAACTCATATTTGACGATGTACAGGTAACTGGACATGGCTGTGGAGAGGACACATAGACACAGACATTCCAGTGTGTTATTTCTAACATGTGAACAGGCTAATGTGTGGTATGTACAAAAAGGAGACACACACACATACACACACAGAGCATATGTAATTCTCTAGAAAGAAAAATGTGAGTATTATCCCATGTCTCAGAATATAAAATAAAAGTGTGTGTATGTGTGAGGACAGATGGTGTGTGACTCACCTCCAATGTTCTGCAGTGTGATGGCAATACCTGCCGCCATCTTCCCCGGGGTCCCAAAGGCCCTGTAACCGAGCTGCTCATACGCACGAATACCTGAGCCACACACACCAGATAAATACAATGTATAATCCACAGTGACAAGGGCTTGGACTGTAAAGAGACTGCACTTCTAATTAAATATATATCACAAATTGTTGTATTGTTAGCATCTTCACACGATGTGTAATTTAAAGGTTTGCTAATCAGGAGATGCAGACTGCGAAATGAGAAACATACCTACAATCCCAGAACACTTCAGCAGTAAATGAATGGAATATGATGAGAGGACTGCCACCACTGTCAGAAGGACCCTGCAACAAACAACACACACATCAACAACATATATGACAACATCTGTCACCAACAAAAACACCTTTATCATGATTAAAAGCACATCTTTATATGTTACATTACTGCACTGTACATTTCACTGAGGGCTATTTACACAGCTGCAGCACAGACATACATTTTCTGGATGCCATGTACATAGATTGTGTTGGAAGATCAGAATCCCTGTGGATCCTCTTTACACTGGACTGTTACTCCAGCTGCCCCATCAGCCCCTCTGCCCTCGGCCACAGTCGGTACACACACTCCAGATGGACGGTTTCAACAGAGACATTTACAATGCAGCGCTGGGATTGGCACAAGGAGCAAGATCCTCAGCAACGTTAATCTGGTTCCTCTTTGTTTCTCAGTGGTGGAATAATCCAGCTCAGTCTCAGCAACAGCCTGTCCCTTCATCTACAGTAAGAGAATCTCAAGAGGGCGTGTACTTGTACATGTTGTTATCATGAAGATGAGCAATCCTCTCTAAAATCGTGTTGTACTGTTATTCTCAATAAAATCCCTCTGCAGTATGTGAGAGTATAAACTAGGTTTATATTCCAACCTTCCTGAGTGGAATGTGCTGAGAAACACGAGGCCGAGAGGCAACACATGATGTCCGTCGGTGTGGATCAGGGAATTTTGCATAAATTTAAGGGATCAAAAATTTAAATCTAACAAGTTCTGAAAGCACATAACAGAGGTTTTACTTATTCACTGATCAGACAGTCCCTGATTCAAATCAAAATGTTTCAACTGTTTTTAAAATTTAAAACTGTTTATATAAGTTATGAAAAACAACAAAACAATCAAAAATCAAATTACTTCATTTCTGAGTCAAACTGAACATTTGCATCAAGTTTGAAGAAGTTCCCTCAGAGTGTTCTTGTAGATGCCGTGTTCACAAGAGCAGGAAAGACAAACGGACAACTCCCTCCGTCCACTGGCTGATGTCTGTGCGGTGGCATTAAAAATGACACTCAAGACATCAACTATTTGTGATGATGGCTGATTTCTCCACTCTATCTGCAGCCCTCATATTTATGTTTACATACACTGCTAATGATGCACACATGTTTCAAGTCTACTGTCCCACTTTAACAAGGTGCATGTGTTCAACCCTTTGACGTTAAAGCTAGAATTCCACTGCAGAACGGATCCTGGGCTTGAGGAAGTTTTGTGAATGGAGCCTTGATCCACTCACTTCTGACCCAGTCCACCTCATTCCAACTATTTTCTATTTTCTCTCTCCTTTGTCGTTACTGCTGGCAACATTAACTTTCTCTCACACACTCTCTCCATTCCTCTTTCTTTTTGGAAAGGCCAAGCATCCCATCTTTCACCTCGACTCCAACTCTTGGCCAGTTAACATTTTTTTTCGGACTGCTTGGCTTCACTTTTCTCCAAGCTGTGTGGAGGAATGCTGGGCAGACTGGCGATGGAGGATTTCAGTCGAGTGGCAGTGGGAGGACAGATCTGCTGACAGTCAGACGGACTGACACGCTCTGGCCACTGTAGCCCTGCTCGCAGCTTTCCACCCCGTTGCATTCCGGGCCGGGGCCACTGACCCACTGAGGACTAAAACTAAAATCTGTGTGATTTGAAACACTGAGCCACAAGAGAAACAGAGAAAAAGGACTTTCCCAATCATGTAGAAGGTATGATAAGTAATCTAGTACGCTCAATAAGTGCATGAGTCACAGAGTGGCTTTCACTGCTGTCCTCACCTCAACTATATTCTCACAGCTGCAAATAGGATTGAACCCTCTGTCATAAAAAGCATTAACATGACTGTTGTGCAGCTAATCCCTGACAATAAGCTAAACTCTTGACTTGTATAATGTAATAGGCATAAATGTTCATATATATATACATATATATGAGTGAGCTGATGCATGTTGCCTCACGAGTGGATAAATGGAAGGTTTAAGGATCAAAGTGCAATATCTGTGGAGAGAGTGAAAACAACCTACATGATGCAAATATTCTGCAACAGGCCCTTTGTTTTGCTAATGATATATATTTAGCCTTCGTTTACCTGCCTGAGTTTGAGCAAACATGTTTTCCTTTTCAGCAAAGGACCTTAAAGGTTCAGCATGATATGGGAAACTGGTGGAAAAGGGCCTGGAGTCCAATGTGGAGCAGGGAAACCTGCCAGTATGGCTTTGCCAAATATGTCACTGACCCAGTCTGTGTTTCTCAGGAGCTCCTCTATTGTTTGACAAAAGATCATACACACAGACAAACACACAAAAGACACAGTGTTTCATGATCTACTACATGGATGGATAAATATATAAGCTTCTGCTTCATTCGGTCACGTACCATTAATTCGCACACAATTATCTGAATTCATCAGTGTGAAAATTAGAGATTAATCGGCGACAGAGTTCATTTCTGAGCTGTCTAAGTGTAAAAGGCAGCGGCGTCACAAGGTTCAGCAGGTCCAGACATCAGACAACTTAAAAAAAAAAAACTCAGCTCAAAAATAAGGAGCTTTCTTGAACACGAGGGAAAATCCTCCAGACATGACCGCCTAGGGAGGGAGTGTAAATGACGTCCTTGATTTACATTTTAGAGATGGATATCAAAAGTAGCGCTCAGTTTAAACGCTAACAAGAATTTGCAGTCACATTATTTCATTCAATAAAGCTCTATATTCAGGGATACTTATTTTAGGTGCCCATATTTATATTATTTAGTGTTTATTTTGGGGTGTACTAGAATAGGTTTTCATGCTGTAATATTCAAAATATGCAGTTGTCTCATACTGTACATTGCAGCAGCACCATCTCTTTGCTCTCTGTCTGAAATGCTTGGTTTCTCATCTTGGCCACCCCCCCCCCCTGAGAACCTCTGCTCTGATTGGTTTGCAGGTCCAACTTCTTCAAGCGTGTGTTGTAAAAATCACGCCTCTAACCCAGAGGATTCCTGACCAGCTATGAGCGCTGCTGTAGCCACGGTGACATTGGCATCGACTCTGAAGTTCCAATTAAAGCCAAACTAGCCAGTGGACGGTAGATGCAGTCGATGTCCTGTTACATCTAAAGTAAGTGTTTTCTGTGGAAAATGACAACTCCCTTTCTTGTGGATTTTGACCCTTAACAAGAAAGCTCGAATAAACAAAAGGAGAACAAAATAAAGCATAACATTGCAATTAATCCGCACTGCCTGGAATTTGCAAGCAATGTAATTCTGCAGTGCCCTTAAAAGGCTATCTTCAAAAAAAAAAACTTGACTTCAGCACCAGCCACTCACAGACTAGCACCATCTGGAAGAGGTGTCAAAACAGCAAGAGGAAGACGAGGAGGGGAAGTGTTGATGCTGCCCGTCATACGTGGTGAGACCACCCTCGAGCAGATCTGATGATTTTTCAGAAACAACAAAACGGGTCTTACAGCTGGAAACCTTGTGACAGTAGATGATCTGAATGAGCATGTAAAGCTTTGACAGTCCATCAGACCATTATTACACCACTGTCTTGTCTTGCTGCTGTGTTATACAACGTCATTACCTCTTTGTTGCCCACTTTCTGAAATGATGTGAGCATCAGTCAGTTTAAGTTCAAGACTGATTAGAGCATCAACAAATTTAAGTATCTGACACACCAACAATAAAATACTAGTGAAATGTTATGGATTTTCTTAAAGCAAAAAACTATTTCCCATACAGGCTTTAAAGAATAGGTCTGATGATAATCGGTGTTATATGTTTTTATCCGATTTGTTTGATATTTAGCAGGATTACGCATAAACTACTAATTAGATTACCGTGTAATCTGGTGGAAGAATGTGGTCTGGGAAGAAGCCATTACATTTTGGTGTGGATCCAGATCAGGGCAGGGCAGATCCAGGAATGATTGTTCTCCTTTTCACTTATTTCTCTGGGAAATAATTAATGCTGAGAAAATCAAGCATATTTAGAGAACATATATCTGGGAATGAGTGAAATGTGGTGCAGCTTGATTGAATATAAGGGGACTGTCGGCCTTGGCAGCAGTATGTGCTCTCATAATATGTTTCTTTGTGTCAGTTAGTGAGCTACAACGTTGAATCCTGATTTTGTAATAACTCTTTATCTAATATTATCTGTAATCACATAGGAGTGTGTTTAAGGCCTGTCACATTTTACAAAAATCTTCTTTGAAGGAATTTGCTGTGACATGCAATTCATTTGAATCTATTCAAATACTTACTAGCCTCCAAAATATTCGTAGTAAAACAACGCAACATTACTGGCTTACAAGGTCAAGCTTATAGTGAGCGCCCTCTGCTGGATCATGAGGAAAACTACTGAGATGGAGACTGACAAAGTGTAATGCGTTTCAAGATTGTATATTTTAAATTCAAACTGACTGTAACAGTTTTAATATGAACTTCCCCCCACCTTCGAATGAATGTTCGAATATCGAGTAAAAAGTGTCAGCCCTAGTGTGTTTGCTTAGGATCCAAGCTGCTTAAGCAAATACTAGCCTAGCAAATGCTATACCTAGCCTTTTAAAAAGAATAAAAAACTAATGGAACTACACGTTTCAGCTGTTTTTAAAGGTTTACATCTCCAGTGGTCAGAAATTATTCAGTGACGATGAGTTTTTCGCTTATCGTGGGATTTGTTGAGAGAAATACGGAATATAAAAAAGTCATCATGCTTGTCAGAGCTACATTTTGAAGTGATAACTGATCCCATGGGTAATTAACAGACTTTAGTGAATCATGTCAGAGTAGAGCAGTGCCAGAAACAAGGCTAATATGTTTACCTCAACCGGAGGATTAAACAAAGTGTCTCAACAGCTCTGGTTCTCTCTGTCATCATTCAATATTGACAGAGTCAAAGTTATAAACACGGATGAACATAAAAGGAATCAACCTACAAGCTATAGCCGAGTGCGTCATAATCTTGACAGACAACGCTGCTGCAGAGGCTTTCAAACGTTAAGCCCCTCATATCCACAGAGCATATCAGAGTCAACCACACAGACACACGTGGTTATTTTCTGCATCAGTAATTGCAGTTGCACACATTTATATCATAAGTAAATGATTTCCTGTATGCTATTAATCTGAGCCTTTATTATCAGATAAATGTGTCTTCAGCGTTATAAACAGGATCTGCTGACGAGCCAATTACACTACAATTAGGTGCTCTTCTGTGTGATGTGGACGTCAAGTGGGAAGAGCTCGGTGGGAGGATGAGTCACACAGCATCTGTGGGATGCAAGTCTGCTCACGGTCTGACATCTCGAAGGGACATATTTATCACATCACATGCACAGCGTAACTTACAGAAACAGGACCACCCCTGTGTTGGCCATGGCGTACGCCAAACCCAGGATTCCACTTCCCATGATGGCGTTGCCCAGGTTGAAGACTGACATCCCGAACGAGGTTTTTCCTTCAAACTACAATCGAAGTCAGACAGAGGAGACAAATAAACAAAATAATTCTCTTTAAGTCTGGATCTAGTGAATTTAAACATCATTTCATAAGGGAACTATTGGGCCTCGGAGAAGGCTCGATGTGTAGATGTGAGAATGTTCTTTTTTGTAATAAGGTTTAGGGTTTAACTGTGAAATATAAAGCTTCAGTTAATGTCAATACCAGCCCCCATAAATCCATTTTACACACTTTTAACACTGATTATAGAATATGAGAACGGCGTGCTGGCTGTGTTTGAGCTTACATCCGTGAAGCGTGTGGTCTTTTTGTCCTCCACCCCTGATAAGAACTCCTGGCTCTCTGGGAGGTTGGCCCCAGTGTTCTCAGTTCTGTGAGGACTGATGACAAGAAACAATGTCACAAGAACATGGAGTAACAACGCGACTAACAAAAACACCCGAGTCAAACAATGTCATTTCTTTGTTACAGAACATGCCGGCTCCGCTTTCACAAAAATGTTCCTTTTTGTTCATTGGTGTGCAAATTCCCGCACAAGAGAAACAGACAGGACACATTATTATTATTGTAACATACATACCTGGCATTCTGGGTACTATTGGGTACAGTTTCTCTACAGGCACAGTGTAGATAGGCCATCCATCACCCAACGAGAGCACAAAGTGGAAAAACAACACCCTCAGTCATAATATAATGAGGCAAGTAATACAGTGAAGGGACCAATGAATTAAAACCTGTGTCCTGGAGAGAGAGACATTTTAATTAAACCATCTATTACATGGTAAATGGTCTGAATACATAGAGCACTTTTCCAGTCTTGATGACAAAGGGCTTTAAAGTAGTTTTGCCTTTCATCCATTCACACACATTCATACTGTGCATCTCTGTGCAGCACCTTCTCAGGACCTTTCACACATCACAAGAGCAATTTGGGGTTCAGTGTCTTGCCCAGGGACACTTTGGGATCGGCCGGCCAACCTTCTGTCTAGTGGACGACCCACTCTACCTCCAGAGCCCCACCCACCCAATACAGACGATAAAAAGATAAAAAGATACTGCAAAATGATGAGTGACATGACTGTAAGACACTGAGCTTATCCCATTATCCCTCACTAAGGCACAGTGGATAAGCAGGTAGGAGGTTAAGAATCTGCTCAAAGCCACTCCAGCAGGCAACAAAAGGATTATTTGCTGTTACACAAATTGTGCCTACAACCCTGCAATTATTAGACAAGTGACGAGGCAGCAGGGTGACACAATCAGTCTCAACACTACACACACACAATTAGCTGCCATGTTGTATCTCTGTCTGTATTGTGAGCAATGAGTCATTCAGATATTTTACTAATTCATGGAGCTCATGTAGCGAATAACAGTCAAATACACAACATCATATAAGTGAGGGTCAGGTCATCCTCACGCTGATCAATGCAACCTCACGATTAGTAATGAAACAGGTACATGCAACACATGAGCCTGATTTCATTTGATGTGTGTAGTGTTGAAGTTACATGTTGCAGCTGAACACCCCTCACCTCACCCTCCTCTTCCAAAGATGAAAAAGAAACTGCTTCAGTTGTCATGAAAACTCAAGCTGTTTAGTTTGTCCAAGTATTTCAATATAAAGGACCTTTTCCGGGGTAAAGAAAACTACAATTCATACAATTTAGATGAAACGAACTAGTGAAAACATCATGAGGATTATTCTGCATTAAATTTCTGCCGATAGTTCCCTTTCACCTAAATCTTACACACTGGACTTTTAACAGTGGCAATTCTGAAATGGAGATAGGGATGTTCAAACAGAAAGAAAGACATTTGATTGAAAAGAGGTTGATTATCATTGATTTTATGTTTCCCACTGTTGCTTTTAGAGATGGATGCCACATTTACTGGAGAAGAAACCAAACCAAGAGGACAAATATGATGTGTGCAGATATTTTTTGCAACTTTTCTCATGTGTTTCTTTAAAAAACTGCAGAACCAAACCTGGACATGACTGCTGTCAAAAAGACCCAAGACTCTTCAAAAAATCCAGGCACAAGTGACAAAACACATGAGAAAAGTCATGAAAGTGGCCACCTTGCTTGCCTCAACACTGGGTATAGAGCCATTGTGGCTAACAGTAGATGAAGACAAATTCCCACATGCATTTGCAGATCTGCCACTGCAACAGTGCAGCGCAAATCATTGTGTGAAACGACAGTCGAACACTTTTCAACCATTAATATCTATGTAAGTGTAAGATAATACATTTACTGAGAACAAAATGACTCTTGTGTTAATATAAATGTGTGACCAGCCATATTATTTTGGTTCCAGACCTTTAAATCACTTCCTATATCTCAGATTGTTTCTCAACAAAATAGAATAAAATTATATTTCCAAGCAATTCATTTAAAAAAAATGATTCATATACTTTGTGTTATGAGGGAATATACTCACTTTTCACTGTCCTCTGCTGCTGGGCTTTTGGCCGACCCTGTGATGTCCTCACCGGCGTCATGGCCTTTCCCATTAGGAATAGCGTTCACCTCAGCAGGACCAGTTTCCACAGTCTCAGTTGGATTATCTTCACTCATATCTGCGTGTGTGTGTAATAATCTGTCTGTGGAGATTTGTTAAAGATTGAGGTCTTGCTTATGTTTGTGCTTTGGGAGTCAGGTTTCTATTTTCCTCCAGGGATCTGTGGAAGAAAACAAAACAGACATTTTGTTATGAAGCAGGCAGATCAATGTCCTTTCACTAATGGTTGGAGCAAAGTTCTACTTTGACATTAAAACTGAATAGTGAATTCAATTCAATTAAAAACATGTTGTTACCCCAACATCAGGAGGAGTTTATGGTTTTTTTCAGAAATGTTTTTCTTAAAAATACAGTTAACACTTATCTACACTTCATATCAAAATCACTGGATCACGTACATCCACTATAAATACCAACCTGATATAAACTAGTCAGGTCTTATTTAAGACAGATAGAAATGATATTGAAATGTTTTCACAGTTTATTTATAACGTGTCATCTCTTAGACGCTCTGCAAACTCATTGACACCCACACAGGTGATTTTTATAAATCCCTGTGTCTGTATGGGATTTCTCCAGATTCCTCCCACAGTCCAAAGAGACTGAGCAGATTGGGGTCAGGTTTATGGAGACTCTAAATTGAATGTGAGCAGGAATGGTTGTTTGTTGCTGTGATACACTGGCGACCGGATGTATGCCCTGTAGAGTAGACAGTGGATGGATGGACGGATGGAATTACATAGTTGTGGTGTAATTGGCACAAATAACAGATACATCCTCACCCAGTTGATGTTGGAAATCTGACTGGGGACATCAACAAGCTCAAAGTGACTGCAAGACTAAAATATCTTAAAATAATAATGATATTTATTGTTTAAAATAGATGTTTTGACAAATCACAGGAATAATTGATACATCAGCTGACAGGTCTATGCACAGAGGAAGCAGAGCTTTCAGTTAACGGTGACACACTGGGCTTTGCTTCAAGCCTTTATTTCCTGGGTATCCTGCTGTGGTGTCTCAGCTGACCAGCTGGCTTGGGGGGTCCCAAAAAAGGCCCCTGTGACTTGTTTCTCCTAGATGCTGTTGACCAGAGGCCCCTATCTGGCCGGCCCTGAATGCTCTCCTTTGCTCTGCTGCATAAACGGCAGCGCAGGCTATAATAGAGAGCACGTTGGGGGCCACAGAGGAGGAACACACACAAATAGTTAAACCCGCAGCACCAAGACAAAAAGAGAAGAACCAGCTACAACCAGCTACGAACCAGCTAGTCGTCTTTGTGCCTCCATTTTTCTGCTTGTCACTTTTCTCTCTGTTTCCTCTTTAATTGAGGAGGGTTCAACATGGCAACAATGCTCAGGGTTTTCTGTACGACCGTTCCTGGCAACCACTCGGCTCTCTTTGTTCCCCCAGGGCTCCTTCCGTTCCACATTCTGCCCTTTTAAATGTAGTCTTTTTTTGTGCAATATTATTTTAACACATCAAACGTAGTGTGAGGTGAATAAAGCCTGTTCTACACCGAGCAGTCCTCTGAACCTGTCTTCCTCAACCACGTTGCTGCGAGCCTCACTGCGCAGCCTGGACTCTCGGTGTCTCTGGCTAAAGCCGGGCAACGTGGTTGGGCAGCAAAGCACACTGCACAATGGCACATGTTGTGCGGTTTCCTGGGAACGGGTTTGAGAACAGTGCTACTATTGTGCCAAGGATCATTATACCGCCGGGGCCCCCTTGGCTGCAGTTCACCAGGCCACTCGAGAGGCTGAAAGGTATTTCACTGGCTCTAATTGAAAAGACGCCACCTTAAATTCAGCAAATGCCAAGATCCTGTATTCATGCACAGTTGTAGCGCAGTTGCTGACGGTAGCAATGGCAGAACCAGGCCCCCTCTCATGGGACAAATCGCTGCACAGAACCGCGCTGCCAATCAGATCGTCTACAAATCACGAAGAGGCTGGAGGTGCCATTCGAGGACAATACACGAGGGGCCGTGCGGCCACAGCGGTACCTCTTAAATGGCCCAGAGCAGTGGAGCTTGAAACAGCAGAGCTGATTGGACAGTTGTGGCTCCTACAATCATGATGTTTAATCACAAAAGCAATATATGACATCCTTGAAAACAGTCGAGTGAAAACACACTCACTCAGTCACAAGCTGTTATTTTTAGAGAGCTTTTATTTTCCTGCACTCCAAGTTTGAAGATAATGAGGGAAGTTTAAATGCGCAGGGGGAGATACAAATTTTCATGGTTTTGCCAGCAGAGACACTGATTCTGATATCAGGTATATGCTATATAAAGATGTCAGGAAATAATATTTACCAGTTTTAAGCAAGGCTGCACAGTGGTGTTCCTGGTTCCAATCTCGGCCATAGACTGAGCCTGTCTGAGTTTGCATGTTCTTGCGTGTCTGAGTGGGTTTTCTCCAGGTACTTCGGCTTCCTCCAACATGCAGACTGGGATTAGGTTCATTAAAGACTCTCAATTGACTGAATGTGTTGATGTTTTTAATTTTTTTATTATTTGTATGTTGTTGTTATGTATTGTTAATGCACACTGTCCAGGCTGTACCCCGCCTCTCACCCAAAGTCAGCTGATGGTATCGATGTTGGATGGATGGACGGACAGACATATCAGACAGACACAATCATAAATGTTAAGGAGATTGTTTAAGGGTCAGATCCAGTATGGGAGTATTTAGTGGGTTATTATTGTTTAAATATTGGAATGCCAAACTTTCACGATATTTATGTGATAGGAATTTTTATTATAGTGTGGGTATAAGCAATTCAAATATGTTTACAAAAATTAAACTTGATGTCTCATCTTAGATGACAATACCATCACACTGAATGAACTGTACTACAATTTGTCTGACGAGCATAAAAAACAATAGCGTTCATCATCCCCACAGACTGAACCACCAGTTACCACAGCACCATTGTGGTATGAAACAGAGGCAGAGCTGTGTTAACATAAGAAAAAGTTCAGGGAAAGCCAAGACAACAAGACTGAACTGCTCTGTAGTCTACAGACGCGATGTCACCCCCCAAAAACACACGAGTGCATCGGTCTGCATGAGGACTTACAGTCTACCCTGATCTCACAGCAACATGGTTTCCAACATTTCATTCCCAGAAACATTTTTCATGTGAGAGACATCTAGATACCTAGATATGTTTGAGTTTAAATGAGGATTTCCACACTAATAAAGTTCTATTTGCTTAGTGTGTATTCACCACAATACACCAAAGATCTATTGACTTAACCTTTCTCAAGAGCGGACACTGCAACTGCTGCAGCAACGATACTGTACCACTACTTCCTTTATCAAAAAATAAAACCCAATGACAGAAAGAAACATTAGCAGCACTACATGGGGAAAAAGGGATTATCCATTGTTTCTCCACTCATATTCAAACAATCTGAATCCTAAGAAAGAGTTAATGGCAGCTTGTGAGGCTCTTGGAGCGAGTAAATGAGTCTTTTCACAGTGACAACAGAGGCGATGTTTATTCAAGCCCTATCCAAAACATCACCTCAGTTTGCCAACACACAGCGAGCGTATGCGCTTCAGTCCGCCTGCATCTGACGTGAGCCGCTCTTCCGAGAGACGTCACGCCATGAGGGAAGAGAGAGAGAGCGAGGCCGTTTCACTGATTGTAACACCATAACCGAAACCTGAACCAAACAACGCTGTGCATGCTTATTCATCTCCACTTATTGCTATGCATGTGTGCATCTGGGTTTGTCGTTCATTTCGGTGAATAATCAAATGTGTGCAGTTTATGCTGTGACACATCCTCCTCTCTCACTACTTAATGACATTCTCACAGGCCTCTGGCTGCATAAGCTTTTCTTGATTGAGTCTCCAGTGTCATTTTCACAGAAGCTTAATCTGTGGACAATCACTAAATGTTTCTCACTCTTCTCGCTCACATTCACGTCCACGTGTTTGCAGTAAAAGAATAATGCAAATCTTTTTAAAACTCAACAAGAATCGTGTTATCCTCCTTAAAATCATCCGCAGCATCAATCATGTCCATGCAGGTCATTTGAAAGACAGCAAAGCTAGCTCAATCTAATCTAATCTTAACCATAAGGGTACCCTGAGAGTGCAGACTTCACCGAGGCCAACTCCCTTTCTCATCAAAGTGTAAAAATGATCCTGGATCTGCCACCTTGATCAAAGCTGTTCAAAGAGTTAATGGGTTTTTCCTTGGACTGTGCCCCTCCCTTCCAACTACTTTCAATTAGACCAGATCAGCAGTTTCTATCGCAATCCTGCAAACAGACAGACAAACAGAAATCAAAACATAACCTCCCTGGCAGAGCAGAGGTAAAAAGCAAGAACTCAGTCGAGTACATTCCTCCATTGAAGCACCTATCTCATATTGTTAAAGAAACTGATTTAAAATATTCCTGTATCCACACCAAAATGTACAGTGGTGGAAAAAACCTACCCTCCTATGAAACCATTCGATTCAATTCAAACCCGCTATCTGGATTTGTATCTGGATCTGAACAACATTACATACACTAATAGATAACAGTCTCATGAGCATGACTGTTTTTTTCATCAAGATTCATCAATCACTTCTTTGCAAATTGTCAAAAAACTGAATATATCTTGCAATGTTAAAGAAAGAGAAAATTCCCAGATCCACCCCTGTGTCCGGATCCACACCAACATTTATTGGGTGATTCCCTGACTCAGACCACATCCTTCCACCTTCCAGTTTCACAGAAATCCATTCAGTAGATTTAGCATAATCCTGCTGACTAACAAACAAAAAACAAACAACAAACCAACAATCTGACAGGGGTGAATATTACTAACATTCTTACTAATAGATTTCTGTCATAGCTGCAAAACCTGTGATGCCTGTTTTTAAAAGTCACTGTAGTGGACAAATATCAACATCATATAAAGTAAGTTATCCAACCTCCCTGTGTTCATAAACAGGACGGGGTTTCCTGCAGATTAAGAGATTACACATGATGAGCACCACAATTCCACTGATGAGCAGCTAATAGATCTATCAGTGAATTTTTCATGTTAAACCTCCAACAGTCAGGAAGATGGAGTAGACACAATTAGGGCCCATCTCGCTCAGACAGGAAGTCAGGATCAAACCGCTCAGGTCACCACGTACACTGCTCCT